TATACTCCAGGACAATACGCGTGGTGTTCATAGTGTTCATAATTGCCGCGGTGATCTGAGCGGGCTCCAGGATCCCAGTGCTATGGCGTCTGGTCTGAAAAAAGGCGCGAAACTAGTATCTGACGGACGGAGGGAGGGAAGAAGGGAGGGAGGGGCGAGTGACGACATGGCGTACAGGTACAAGGAATTAAAATCAACAAAGGTGGCTGTGCATCAGGGAGAAACACAAACAACTGTCACACAGAATGCCCCCCCCCCCCAAAGATTGAACTCAAAACCCTGGGTTTAGCAGGCCGTTGATTTCACGGAGGGAGGGGGAAGCAAATGAATACAGGACAAATCTATTTTTTACATCTTAAGCTGGCAGACGACGGTGCAGCATGACTGATAGCCCTCAGCATCTTCTGGGTGCTTGGCAGAAAATACTGGGCGCTTGGCAGAAAATAGCATACTACAACTGATAGCCATCATCGTCGAGACTGCCCAGGTGCCCATGATTGACAGCCACTGCAGTACGATGACGACGGATATCAGTCGTAATATACCATCTTCTACCAAAAGGCAAGGGGCTGCTGTTGTGTGCAATGCAGCCCCACGTCTGCCAGCACCCAGATCACCGATGAAGGTCATACTGCACCGTCTACTACCAAAAGGCAATTAGCTGCTGCTGTGTAGCAATGCAGTACCATGTCTGCCAGCACCCAGAGGACATATGGTGACGGTGAGCTGAGCTGAGCGGGCTCCATGCTTGCCGTGGTATGTTGTCTGCACAGGTAACCCAGGTAAAAAGGCGCAAATCGATTGTCTGCCGTTGCTCTGATGGAGGGGGAGGTGCCTGATGACATGTACCCAGAACCCCCCACGACACTGTTTTGCATCATTCAGGCATTGGGATCTCAACCCAGAATTCCAATGGGCGGCGGAGACTGCGGGAACTGTGGGATAGCTACCCACAGTGCAATGCTCCGGAAGTCGACGCTAGCCTCGGTACTGTGGATGCGGTCCACCGACTTCATGCCCTTAGAGCATTTTATGTGGGGACACACACAATCGGCTGTATACAACCGATTTCTATAAAACTGGCTTCTATAAATTCGACCTAATTTCGTAGTGTAGACATACCCTTAGTCTGTGCAAGGAGGAGCCGCAGAACTACTTAGATTCCAGGACCCTACTCAATAAATATTGCCAGGGTTTAGTTATAAATATAAAAATAAATCAAATAAAAGGCACCTCACACTTGCTCCAGGTGTCTTTCGAGTCCATCTCTGTTCCCAGTTCAATGACCCCTCTCCTCTTCCCCCGTTAAACAATATTCAAGAAGGGGGGGCAACCTCATCCTATTAACATTAACCAATCAAAACATATTTTGAAAATTTTTAATTATAAGCATTTCTTCCCTTTCTAGAATCTTTTAACCCATCATACCAACCCATGACTTTACCAGGAGCCCTCAGCACTGATTGTTTTTGATGCAAACAGTTCAGTTTGTAGCAGTCTATTTGTCTCCAACTTTTGCTAACTTCGGTAAACAATTTAATGTAACAGGGTGAGCTGGACTTTTGTGACCTTGAACAACTGCGAGTACAGGCCTCTCTTTGCCAGGAGCTGGGACCGGACGACAGGGGATGGATCACCCAAAACTGCCCTGTTCCGTTCATTCCCTCTGAAGCACCTGGCACTGGCCACTACACAGCTTCATTTGCACAGTGAGAGACAGTGACAAAACTGCTCCCTGTGGCTGCAGCTCCATAAAGGACAGCCCTCAGGGGAACCTACACCACAGAAATTAACAAAGGCAATCCTCTGCTGCCCAGCCACTCCTCAGCCAGGGCAGTAATATTCTGAGCAACAGTATCTCTAAGGCAGCTAACAGATAGAACACTATCAGCCTGAGATGTTGTCTCACCCCTTCAGCAGGAAGCAGGGTAGTCCTATTCATATCAGGGTTATCCCACAAAAACAGAGACAGATGGCAACTCCCTGCAGCAGATAGTAGAAGGAAGAGAGAGATGGACCAAGCCAAGGGGAATTGCATTTTCCTTCTCAGGAGCACAAGGTCTACCCTAAGAGTCTATATTAGAAGTGGGGTGTTTAAGCGACTGTTCTGGAAAGCATTAGCATCCATACAAAGGGGACTGGCTGGCTTTGACAGCCTGCACAGGCCTCGAAGACTAGTACGCAGCAGGACAGCATTTTGCATTTCTAGGTCTGTTAGCCCTGGACCCCACATACCACAGTGCGACTGGCCGTCACAGAGCTGAGTGCTGGCAGAGGATTCTTGGCATAAATTGTCACCACCACTTGGCTGCTGGTTTGATGCCAGTCTTGTCGACAAGACACCAACTTCTTATCCTGGTGAGAAAAGGAGCCTGTTACTGAGGCCAGCCTCCAGCACACACATCTCGTCCCCCATTGCAGAAAAAACAGATCTAGCCAAGGAGCCCTGCACCGTTCCTCCTGGCTGATGTGTTAACTAAAGGCTAGAGTCCCAGCATAGCCCTAGAGGCCAAGCTGGCCCAGCACGTCAAATGTAACACTGGGTTCTTTACATTTAGACTAAAGCTATTTCCAACCCAGTCTGCAGCCCAATGAGACTAAAGAGGGTCTCACCATTGTGTGCAGGAGGCAGGGTCACCAAAGCAATTACATCACTTTTAATATCCATCCTCCTCCTGTTCCACAGCAAGATCCTCACCAGGTTTTCCCAAGCCCCACAGTGATTCCCCAGGGAATCAGACAGGCCTGGTTTTCAAGGTACACAATTCAGTCTTCCAATCAGTGCTGGTCCTTCCTCTAAAACTAAACCTCTGTTTCCAGCTGTGAACTTGGTTGGAGAATTCTCTCTCTCTCTCTCAGACCTTAGACTGGCACTCATCACCCCAGAGCTGGAATGCTTTGGGGGCGACACTTCTGAACAAAGCCATCTTAGGGAGCAAGTGTAATTCAACCCAGACTGACACTGGCACTGGCAAGTATGTAACACAGAAATGTTTGGTGCTAGGAAAATTTTGAGAGGCTTTTCCTGCATTCAGAAGTTCAGCTGCCTGTGTGATTCTCACGCACAGTCCAGGTCAGTGTGAGACTGCCTGTCTAGGAAAGGTTTGAAGATGAACAGGCCCATAAATGCTACATCCAATTCAATTGTTTTAAACGTTCCTCTTAACCTGTTCTGTACCTCAGCCAGAGTCTTCCACACGCAAACTGTTACAGCCAGAGAAATGTTTCCTGCTCAACCTTTCCCTTTGACAGTGCAGACACTGGGCTAGCTGATCTCTCTCTCCTAGTCACAGGGGACACTAATCTCCAGAGAGGGGAGGGGAGCGGAGGCTTGGGCCAAGAGACCTTCCTCTCTCGCCCACTGCTGCTTATACTTACCCACCAGCCCATCTAAGCAGCAAGGCCTTGGCACTCTGGGTAGCTGGGGTCAGTGCCCCGCTTTTGCTAACTAACCCTGCTTAACTTTTTTATTTGTCACCCACCAATGGTTTCTAAGGTGTTAAAACCAAGGGCTGCACTTTCAGCCTGCCCCATCTAAAGGAAGCTATGCAGTAGCCATGCAAGGAGAGCAACGTTCAATTAGGGGAAATGACAGTTATGTATCTCGTGTTATACCAGTTGCACCAGACACAATTCTGTAATAATGTCCCAGTTCTGTGTTGCTGCCTGCTTTAGAAATGGGCGGAGTAATAACCAGCCGTGCCAGTGAAGATGACTACCCTGAGGGGTGTATGTTAAGAAGTAATGGCAGGATATTTCAAAGGGAAGGCTTGTGCTGGCCTGATTTTGTCCTCTCTCGTGTTTTTTTTTAAACAGCTAAGCAGGGCTGGGTCTGGTCAGTCCTGAACTGCAAACCTTCAAGGGAAAAATCCAGGTGGGCATGGGGACCCCTTTGCACTTGCTGACAGGAAGAGCAGACTCTGTGTTAGCTTGGAAGTGCCTTCAAACTTTGGGTGCAGCTTCCCCAGTCCCCTTGCCTGTTGAAATTGATTTAGCCTCCCTTGGAGGGTCACCCCTGGGGAGACTGTTCATATTCTGCACTGCCTGTGTCATGTGTATTTAGTTTTGCTACCATGCCCTGACTTTTTAGCTCATTTCCATTAGGTTTGGCTGAGATAGCATTTCTTTTTATGCATCTATCGCTAGTGGTTTGAAACACCTGCCTTCTGAGCTAAGCTGCTCAGACCTGGTCTCAGACAAGAGGGAAAAGTTTAAGAAAAGTTTGAAAAAGGATCAGAGATTCAAATACATTTTTAAATATGTTTTAATTTATCCTCAGTTTAAAAAAAACGCTCAAGAAAGTTATATGCACAAGCCTATGTGACTGAAGGCAGCATGTGGTGAAGGGCTGCAATCACTAAATGCCAGAAATGCAGTTAAGGCTCTCACAGACTGTCATGCAGCCCCATTCTTCATAGGCGCTACAGTATGGCTTATCCCATGCGATCATACAAAGCCTAATAACACCTGTATGGTGGTTTCCCTCTTCAAAGCCCTGTGCTGTATAAATATTGTTGGAGTCCTTGCCACTGGGCAAAGTGACACATTATTCAGCAAACGACAGACTAAAATGGAGAGGACATTAATTTCTCTCCATCCTGAGTCTGCACTAGCCCTTTAAAGAAGGGACACAGTGAGCAGTCCTGGCCCAGTCCCACTCTCCCTACAAGGAGGGATTATTTGCGTAAACAGCACTAACAGGATTTGGCTCTCATGCCTACTCTGCCCCTTTGCCTAGCACCCTGATGCTCCAATGCAGGCATTTGTGTTTCTGCCTGTGCTGTGTGATCAGGAAAGGAGACTCGGGTAATGCACATTCAAGGCCTCAGAATTACAATGGTTTCAGCCATAATATTTTTTGCATGTGATATTTTAAGAATCCATTTGGCCTGTCATGCCCCAGTGACAAGCAGATGCCACAGTTACCAGCACAGAGCGGGGAGCAGTGACAGTTCAGGAGTCCTTTGCTGTCTGCTCACTGCTCTAAGCCTTGCCGCAGTGGCATACCTCCTTCTTTATCCAGCTGTGTTTTCCAGTGCTGCAGCCCTCTTGCTCCAGAAACACACTGAAGTCTGTAGTTTTAATGCCACAGCAACTCCAGTACTTCATACTGGGGAAAGAGCAAGAAACAAATTAATTTAGGAATGCCAGAAAGGGACACATGAGTCCAAGGAAGATGGGAGCTCTAGGGGTTTAGGGGTAGAGCTAGGTGGAGACAGGGAGACCTGGGGCACTCAAGATGCTGAGCATGGGGGATCTGGGACTGACAGCTCCAGTCTGAACAAACTCAGAGGGACTAAGAGATGTGGCCATCTGCTAGCCTGTCTGTGTGACATGAGCTGGGGTGTCACATGGCCACAGGATAAAAATAACCAACACAACTGGCCATCTAGTTGGAGGAGCTGCGGACTGAGTGGGCCTCCCCAGGGTGAGCGTCTCTCCTTGTGGGAAAGCTTGCTGTGCTGCTGACTGGTCTGCCACTGAAGAGCGGAGTCAGGGTCCAAGGCAGGCAGGCAGTTTTTACAAGTATGGGGATAAAAGTCTCCTGGTTCCAAAGGATGTTGCTTACCCCTCATGGAAGACAGGAACTCCGGGGTGGAAAATACAAGCCTCTGTCTCATTCTCTGCCCCCTTGTAGATCTGCCGGGGAAGAGGCAGTGGCAATGATCAGCACAGCATATTGATGAAAATGAAACCTGACCTGAACCTTTAGGGGAAGGAGAATTCTTTGCTTAAAGTGCAGCTGGTCCCCGCAGTGTCCTGCAGGACATGGCTGGAGCCTCAGGACCCTTCACTGACTGCCCCTTCCCCAGTTCTCCCCTCAAACACATGCAGCATGGGATGGGAGGCTCAGATACCAAGGGGACAGGGACAGAGACATACACTCACTATTAGCCATTCTCAGTCCCCACACCCGTCACCTTTCCCTCCTTGCCATTTCCATGCTTCCCCACATTGTGTGTTTGCTCCCTGCTGGTTTTGCTACCCCTCCCTCTCCCGCCCGGCACTCCCTGTGCTGTGCTCTCCCTCCTTCTCCTTGCCCTCTCAGTCTCTCCCTACACCGTTCAATCTACTTCCTTCTGGATCCCACTCACCCTAATCCCTCCCTCCTTCCAGCCCCTTGAACCCCTCCCTTCTCCCCATGGTTACAGGCTTCCCAGCTGCACTGGGACGAGCACCCCTGCTCCAGGGTTCTGGGGTTGGAAGGTTACACACCTACACAAGCCATCAGTGTGCAATGCTGGTGTGATGGAACTGCTGTCTGTCATGCAGACCATTCCAGGAGCCTGCTCTCCTGGCCAGTGGAGGCTGCAGTAAGAGCTTTTTGGGAAGCCTGTTGGATTTCAGTGACGGAAGTGGGGACGCCAACTTTGCTGTGGGGCCAGCAGATTCCACCCGAAACCTTCACTGTGGCTGAAGAAAATGTAGCTAGATGTTCCTGTCATAAGTCCCAGGTGCTGACACTTACTATTTTTGGTGGGCACTAGAGAGATCGTGAAGACCCTCTCCCCCCAGTTGCCAAACAAACCCAGAAAGCTGGTCTCTGCCAGTGCAGGGCACTGAACCAGAATCAGCAGGGAAGGGAGCATGTGTCCACAGAGCTACGCTCCGAGATCTGATTCCCCAGAGCCTGGGACACCCTGACCTGGACTTTGGAACACAAAACCAAGGGTGCAACTCACCACCTTACAGCCTGAGTTCTTACAGGTGGTGCCAGGTCTGACATCCGGAATGGCCTCTGCTGTAATCAACACACATAGCACAGAGCTCTTTATCAGGCTTAGACATTCACCCAGGGGTTCCACTCACACGCCCATCATCCAGGACCATGAGCCACATTATTCTTCACCAGGATACCAGTCCATAGCCCCCCAGTGCACAGCTCCATCTTGGCATATAACCCCACAGCCTGCCACGGCCTGCAATCCCTCTTCATGATACACATACCTGCTTCTAAGTAGTGCACCCTCCATGCTTCCCATAATGCACAGCCCAAGACTACCCTGCCAGGCCCATCCCCATCTTCTCACCCCTGCACAAGGAACCTCCCTCTGGGCATTGGTTTTTGGAGGCCAGCTTCAGCTTCTCCAGGGTCTGCTCCAGAGACCTGGACACTTTAATCAGCAGTGGCTGTCTTGGCTCATCAGAGCTGGAAAGAAAAACCACACCCAACATAACAAAAAACAGCATTGTTTCCCTCAACACTCAGATTAACCTTCCCTGCCCCATCTTGAGAGGGAAGCAGGGGCAGGGCCATCTACATGGCCAGTGCCTGACTCACCTTGGCCTTTCACGCTGCATCTTCTCAGCTGATTTGGGGCTTTGGACAATGAGTTCTGTGCTTGGCTTGGCCTTCAGCTTGTCTGAGGTATCCTCTGGCCGGAAAGGCTCAGGGGGCTTCTCAATGCTGTGACACCCCTTCATGCAGCCCTAAGGGGAGGGACCAGAGACAAGCCTAACACTCCTTTTGACCTCCCCACGCAAGGGGCTTGTAGGTTATGGTCGTAGACTCACAGACTTTCAGCCAGAAGGGACCAGGGTGATCATCTAGTCTGACCTCCTGCACATCACAGGCCACAGACCTCCCCCACCCACTCCTGTAGGAGGCCCATAATCTCTGGTTGAGTTACTGACGTCTTCAATTTGTGATGTAATAATGTCAAGTTACAAAGAATCCACCATTTACTCTACTCCAGAGCAGTAAGTGACACATGTCCCATGCTGCAGAGAAAGGCTGCCCCCGAACTCCACAAAGCCAGGACACTAAGTACACTAATGTGTGGGGCACCATGCAGGGGACAGTCCCTAACCTCAGCAGCCCAAGGGAGCAGAGCGTCATGCTGTGCCCAGCTGCATTAACTGCCAGGAAGTTGTGCCAAAAGCATCCCAACAGCCTAGCACTACAGTGCAGCAGGAGGGGGTGGCTCAGGAACCTCTGAGTGCCAATGGGCAAGGGGAACAGAGGGTTGCCTGGGTGACAAGGATCTCCTGGGTCTGGGACATACAGTCTATCTAGGTCACCAAAGAATGTCGTCTGAGCTCTCAAAGAAAAGCCAGCGTCACACTGGTCATCAATCTAATCACAAACGGCACATACAGATGCCGTGTAAGGAGTTACGTATATACACTGGCAATTATGTACTTAATGTCTGTGTCTAGGGCTGGCCACTAGCAAAGGTAAAAAAGCGGTTTCTGTCAGACAAGAAGTGTCTGGCTGTTTAGACCTAAATTAAATACTGTATGGTTCACAGCAGGTCACCTCTCCCTAGTCTGAACCGAATGCTAATGAAGCACTGTGAAGTGAGAGAAAAGTAACAGGAAGAAGCAAACAGCCGGGGAAGAGGGATGGGAGAAGAGAGACCCCATCTTGAGGTGCACGTCAAAGATTTGCTCTAGAATATTTGGGGGACAAAAAATGACACCCTAGCATCCTTCCCTGAGGCAGCAAACGAACAGTCAGTTTGCTTTGTGAAAGAGGAGTCTCAGCCAGGCTTGGCTGAAAACGCTGGTGAGAACGATGGGTGAGACAAGCTGTTAAACCAGAGGATAACTTGTTTTAGTCTCTAGAAAGCATGTTATGATTTTGATTTGTACGTAACCCATTTTTCCAGTATTCTCACTATCACATGAATCTTGGTTCTCTGACAACAAACACATTCTTGTTTTCATTATAACTAGATCTCAGTGCTGTGATGTTAAGCAAAGTGCTGAACCTGAGTTGAGTCTTACAAGCTGGCGTACGGTTCCTTAGGAACTGCAGGCCTGGTAGCCCTGTGAGGGTTCAGTGGAGGGGGCTAGACACTACAGGGAACACTCCAAGGATCTGGCAGTTGGTGTGTTGCTACCTGAACAGAGAGACCGAGGCCTGGAAGGCTCTAATTGTGCTGCCAGAGGCTGGTGGTTTCAAGGATCTGATCCACATCAGGCACAAACAAGACTTCCTCATGATGAGGCTAGGTGGTGGTGAGGTGCCTCACAACCCTGGGCACCTCTGGGGAGCATTGCAGAGAGGCCTCTGGCTCTTCTTTTTGTGTACCAGTCCTTTGCTGGTGAAGCGCAATGTTCATAACAGTTAGCCAGAAAGGCAGACATTGCAATAATCAACACCGGAGATCCCAGGGCCTGAGCAGGAGTGTTAGCTACTGCGACGGAGATGGGTGGGAGATTTTTGATACGCTGCAAATGAAGAAATGGCAAGATTTGGGCTTGGCCTGGATGTGATGGGAGGAGTGAGAGACAGCCCCCGAGTTAAGTGCTTGAGTGAGAGAAAAGAGAGTTGTGAGTGAGGAAGTGGAGCGAATTTAGGAAGGAAGGAAGGAAGGTTTTTTCCATCCATCTTAAATATGACTGGTAAGCCATCCAGGAGCAGTCCGTGAGAGACTGAGAAGCAGGACTAGGCAGAGAAAGTCAGATCCATATCCATCAACCAGTATCTAGGACTCAGATGAGTAACATCATTAGGCTGAGAAAAATTCCCACTAGAGTAGGGGAACCAGGGGAGCTGGGTGGGAATGGGATAGACCAGATGGTGGACAGGGAATTGGATGGGGGGGAGACTGGCTGGATGGAGACAGGGAACCAGCCGGGAGAGGAACAGACTGGCCAGGGCAGAGATGGGGAAATGGACAGGGTGGGGACAGACCAGGCAGGGCTAAGGATCTGGCCAGGGAAGTGGAGGGGACAGAGACAGACCAGCAAGATATAGGGATCTGGCCAGGGATGGACCAGATGGGGATAGGAATCTGGCCAGGGAAGTGGACAGGGCAGGGACAGACTGGCCAGGGATAGGATCTGACCAGGGAAGTGGACAGGGCGGGGACAGACCAGACAGGGATAGAGATCTGGGCAGGGAAGTGAACGGGACAGGGACGGACCAGCCGTGGATAGGGATCTGGCCAGGGAAGTGGACAGAGTTGGGACAGACCAGTCAGGCAGCCCGAGGGTGAGGGTTCCGCTGTTTTGTTTTGGGGGCCAAGTGTGTCTAGGAGCAGTGGAGACTGGAGTGCCTGTAGAGGTGGGTGGGTTACATACCTTTATGGAGAGGAATTCTGAGAAGTCTGTGGTTCGTTTCTTGCAACAAGACCAGCCCTGGACACAAGAATAGGATGTATATGGTCAGGTACGGAAAACGAATACTGACCTCTCAATCCCCACATCAAACACACACTTCCCTATATCCTGGATCTCCCTTTGTCCTGGATGGACTGTCACCCATACACATGGACTGTCACCCATACCTCACGTAGGCAGCTGTTTCTGGCACCTGATTCTGAACTTATGACAAGAGCTGTCCCTTTACCGCTGCACTCACCTTTAGGGCATCATGGAATATGGGAACACCTGGGTGGTACACACAGGAATCTATGAGCCAAAAACAAGAACATAAGAACATAAGAATGGCCAGACTGGGTCAAATCAAAGGTCCATCCAGCCCAGTGTCCTGCCTTCCAACAGTGGCCAATGCCAGGTGCCCCAGAGGAATGAACAGAACAGAGAATCATCAAGTGATCCATCACCTGTTGCCCATTCCCAGCTTCTGGCAAACAGAGGCTAGCGACACCATGCCTGCCCATCCTGGCTAATATCCATTGATGGACCTATCCTCCATGAATTTATCTAGTTCTTTTTTGAACCCTGTTATAGTCTTGGCCTTCTACAACATCCTCTGGCAAGGAGTTCCACAGGTTGACTGTGCATTATGTGAAAAAGTACTTCCTTTTGTTTGTTTTAAACCTGCTGCCTATTAATTTCATTTGGTGGCCCCTAGTTCTTCTGTTATGAGAATGAGTAAATAATACTTCCTTATTTACTTTCTCCACACCAGTCATGATTTTATAGACCTCTATCATATCCCCACGTAGTCATCTTTTTTCCAAGCTGAAAAGTCCCAGTCTTATTAATCTATTCTCATATGGAAGCCATTCCATACCCCTAATGATATTTGTTGCCCTTTCCTGAACCTTTTCCAAGTCCAATATATCTTTTTTGAAATGGGGCAACCACATCTGCATGCAGTATTCAAGGTGTGGGCGTACCATGGATTTATATAGAGGCAATATGATATTTTCTGTCTTATTATCTATCCCTTTCTTAATGATTCCCAACATTCTGTTTGCTTTTTTGATTGCCGCTGCACATTGAGTGGATGTTTTCAGAGAACTATCCACAATGACGCCAAGATCTTTCTTGAGTGATAACAGCTAATTTAGACCCCATCTCTCAAAACAGAGTCAGCGCTTCAGGACACAAATCCCTATTGGTCAGCCAGCGCTCCTGCCCTGCTCCCTACAGCATCCCTGTGACATGCCCGGGGGCACAATCCAGACTAATGAGTAGCTGTGTCACCCCTTCCCCTGTAACCTTGGGTGCTTTATGATGCCTTGCTGTAGGAGCTCCCACCTGGGGCACTCACAAACAGCCTTCCAGGGCTTGCTGGTGAGCAGCTCCATGGCTCACCGATGGTCAGCTTCCAGCCGCTGCTCTTATGCCTGCTTTTCTTTGGCTCACTTTCTCTGTCTCTCTTCTTTCTCCAATCTGGCCAGCTCTAGCTTTGAAGTTCTGTCGCTGCTACTCATTTTTATGATTTACTGTTTCTATTTCCCTTATTCAAAATAAGCAAACAGAAAACAACAAGCTGTAACCTCTCTGTGACTGTTTCCAGCCACCAGTGCTATCCCAGTGCTGTGCACAAACCTAGTACCAAGGTACAATCCAGACTAACGAGTAGCAGTGTCACCCCGTCCTCTAACCTGGGGTGCCCTTTGCCAGGCTGTGCTGCTGTAGCCTCCAGTCTGGCCTACTCACAAACAGTCTCCAGCATCTAAGTCACTCCCAGCTATGTCTGTGTGCTGCAGCCAGCCAGCCACACCATGGCTCTACCAGCCTTGATTATACTGCAGGGTGACCCCAGCACACCCCCCGTCTTAGGTTTTCCCCTAGAAATAGGTGTCCTGTAATCCTCAACGCTCTCCTGGACAATACAGATATGATAAGTCTGCTATTTTTTAAGATAATTATATGCCATCTTATTATTTTAAATAGTTCTTCAGACACTTCAATTTAAACACATTGGATTAGATAAAACAGTAAAAAGTTTATTAACTACACAAAGAGATTTTAAGTGAATACAGGTAATGAGGCATAAAAGTCAGAAATTATTTACAAGAAAAAGAAAGATAAAATGCAATTCGTGCTGAACTTAACAAACTATACTAAATTCAAAGCAAAGTTTTTCTCAGCACGTCCTCTCAACAGTCTTGTTGACCAAACTTTTCGGCCAGGACCCCTGCTTCCTTTGTCCCTTCTCATGTGGTGAATCAATGGACAGAGAGGGAGAGAGCAGGGGGAGTCCTGTGGCACCTTTGAGACTAACAGAAGTACTGGGAGCATAAGCTTTCGTGGGTAAGAACCTCACTTC